TCCATGCCGGTGGGCTCCGTGCCCTGCGGGCGCTGCCGAGCGGCGGGCGCGGCCTCAGGGTCATCCGTGGAGGCACCTTCCCTTCCCCCCACCGACAGATGATGCAGCCTCCGCGCCTTCTGTCCAGTCGCATTTTGTGAGTAACCGTTACCTGCGAGTCTTAACTGATTCTTTTCTTCAGTAAACGCCCATTTCAACTGTTTTCAGCTCAGGAACTAAGCGTGATTCAGTTGGTTCCGAGGCGTCGGGAAGGTACAGCGGGTGGCTTCGCGCTCTGCCCGGGCCTTCGGTGAAGGCCTTTTATGTCCCCATTAAAGCTTTGTGTGCGGCCTGGAAGGTTTCAGGTTCCCTTAAGTGGTCGCTCGTTTATCCTTAACGTTCTATAAAGGGGGAAGGGATATTAAGACAACCTGACTTAACTGGACTTTGTGATTGGTTTTTAAATTTGATAACACAGTACCATTTACCTAACAGGGAGCACTGGCGGCGTTTGTTCCAGGATCTTCCGTTGTAAATGTGTTCAGGAGACGTGGCACTGAAGCTGGAGAACAGCATGTACAGTATAGAAGGCCCTTAGGTTGTAAATGCCTGCTGTACCCTCAGATGCTTGAGTTTACATAGAGATGTGTATTTCTGGACATAATACAGAAGAAACTGGTCAGCAGCTGGGAGACTGGAAGAACTTTGCTTGTGCAAAAGCGAGTTGTAAGTGAATACCTCTCGATGAGACTTGGTATAGTCATGAGTTGGTTTTTTCCCCTCCTCCCCCGAATTTGAAATACACGTTGTTTCGTCTTAAACAATCTAACAGTTAATTGTCAGCAGGGCAGATGTAGTTTAAAGTAGTTTTTATTTGGTATGACAGTCATTCTTTTTGAGGCCTAAGTGGCTTGAATCCTATTTTAATTGCTAAGTCTTGGAATTTTTTAAAATTTTAGAGTAAATGTTTGATTAAAATTTGATGATGCATATAAGTCCTTAACCATAATAAATACACAAGAGCCTACGAATCTGTTTAAGAACTGGAATATTACCAATACCGTAGCATCTGTTTGCTTCCTTGTCCCATTCCACTGCCTTCCATCCTGAGGTGCGCATTAACTGGGATTTTGTGCCTAGACTTGGCTTTTTGAGGGGAGTTGGATGGATAGCAGTCTTATTGCAGATACATATCCCTAAACTTTTTTTTTGTTGCTTTAGGCTTTACACAAATGGGACTTGCATGTAGTTTGCAGAAGTGCCATGGATCATATTAAACTGGAATTTTCCAAGTTAGGATTATTCATAACCAGTAGTTGGTGTTCCTAATATGTGAAATATTTCAGCATTCAAGACTTGAAAATGATAAATTGTTTTGCAAGGTCCAACATTTGATATGTCTTCATAAATCATTTCCAATAGCTGTCTGGTTCAATGATTTATCCTCCTGGGGCGCTGTAGGACATGATCTGTGGCCCCGGTCATGCCATTTACAGTATATAAATATGCTTTCAGGCAACTTGGGACTTAGTTCTACAGGACTATGTCCAGTAATGATGTCAACATAATGTATCTCTGCTTTAAAACTGTATTAGATCTGCCATAATAATGCTTTTATTTGGAGGTCTGCACACTTGTTTTTATATATCTAACCTTTAACCTGGCTCTTCTCGTCCTTGTCAAGCTCTGAGACAAAAGCAATGGCTGGGTACTCATTAGGACCATCATGTCTTAAAACCCATACTGCCAGAGTAAAAGAACATCATAAATATATCCACCACTTTTGCCTGTGCTAATGAATCCATTTCCATCTTGGAAAGATCATTCATGGAATTATTAGGGCCTAATCAGTCAAAAGGATTAATACATACTCAAATCATTACAGGTATTTAAAATTTGGGGTTTATCAGTTTGACTGCCAAAAAAGTAGAATTAAGCCACAAACACATTATATTGTTCCTTCAGAGATGTGTTAAACAATATAGAAAATTACTCTACTGTGTAGTCTTTTTTAAAAATTCTTATTTTTTATTGAAGTGTAGTCAGTTTACAATGTTAGTTTTAGGTGTACAACAGAGTGATTCAGTTACACATGTGTATATATTTTTCAGATTATTTTCCATTAGAGCTCATTAACAAGAAGTTTATATAGCTCCCTGTGCTCTACTATATAATGTTAGTGGTTTTTATTAAAAAGTTGGTTGGGAGTCAGGTAGATTGCAAGGTTTTGTTTGTCCGTTTTTATGGCTCCTGATAAGAGTGGTGAAAAAAGTCTTTTTGGACCATACTACATATAAGATGCCAAACAAACAGATGCAAGTACAAATGAGAATTCAAAATGAAATATATTTAATTTCTAGGTGCAGCAGAGCCTGTGAGTTGAAGATGAATGAAGATCATCGTGATAAATGTTTTCCAAAAACTTGTTATACAGGATGGCTGCGAAAAAACCACTAAGAGGACAACTGCATCTAATAAGGTACCAAAAGTTATGTTAAATTGTGTGCTTTTTTATGTGTTTGTGGCATTGTTCCTGAAGAGCAGTACCAAAAATGTTTAATAACTGGCACAATGATGACTTAAATTACTATTTGCCGTTTACCCAGCTGAGGGTGTCTTTGAAGAAATAATTTTAAGACTGAGGTGCCAGTAATCTATATTATGTGATTTACTCAAATATAATGCATTTTTTATTAAAATGGGTGAAATGTTCATTTCAGCATATAGGTACCTGCAGATGAATGCTCAAGTCTTTAGCAGTGGTATTTAAAAAATCTTCATTGCCTCAAGTAAGTAATTAAGATTTGTCAAGCAACCACTATCTATTGATAATTCAAAGAATCTGACAAACTCCAAAGGGCTGGAGCCATTTCCCGTTAAAGATGCATTTGTGTATCAGGTGTATGATTTTCTTTGAGTCTTGAATATGGAATGATTTTCACTATTGGTTTCTGATTGTTTTCCAGAGGTTCGGCATACAACTTTTTGGAAGGAAAAATGAATTGGTCAAGAAGACATGAATGGAAGCAAATGATAAAAATATTTTATTTAACATTGATCATCTCACAATAAATTACGTATAAAATTACCACATTCGAATGATTTTTATTGCTAGACAGTAAAGTCTGTTTTCTTTAAAAGATACCGTCTTTAAACAGCTTACTAGTCAGACTTGTTTTTAACATACTTTAGGGATAGTTTATTCTTGTCAATAACTAGCTTCCCTGTGGACAGTGATTCTTTTTGAAGTGTCAGGTGGCAGGCAGCTGGTGAGGCATTTTTAGTATATCCAGTCCTCATACCCTTTCTTGTCTTAGAGGGTTTCTGGAGAGGTCCTACTTACTACATACTAGAAAACTATGAAGGACCCCCTTCTTCAGAACCTGCTGTTGTACCTGAAAAACCAGCACAGTTGGCCCTTGAACAACAGGACGGTTAGGAGGGTCAACCCTCCTTGAAGTTGAAAATAGTCTGCCCTTTGTATCCAAGGTTCCAAGTCCTCTGTTTCAACCAGCTATAGATTGTATAGTGTAATATGCATTTATTGGAAAAAAATCCACCCTTTATGTGGACTCATGCAGTTGAAATCTGTGTTGAAGGGTTAACTAGTGGAAATTTCCTAAACTCCTTAATAAATTACGCCTTAAAAGTAATGGTTTCACCAATGACCTACAGATTGTAAAATTTTTATTTTATTCTTGGTTTGCTTTTACATTTGTGAAGAGAAAAGGCCTAAAGGTAGTACAAGTAATAATATGCTAAATTAAGACAGATAGTGACTGGACAGTCACAAGTCCAGTCTGTCCAGGGCTTGCAAGTTTATAAGAATTTGAAAACAACTGAAATCCTACCCAGGTGAAGATTTAAATTTCGCTAAATCTTGCTTTTCCCCTGTTGAGTCCCACAGTACATAATTCCTGGCTTTTATCAGGGTTCAGATTTCAATATGGTAAGTCAAACAATACAAAAAGTGTACAGCAACATCTCTCTAATGACCTGTGATCAGAGGCAGCATTTGAAAACCATTTCCTCCTCAGTATTTGATACTAGTTCTCTTGCTTTGTCAACAGACTCATCACTACAATTAATTGTAAAATGGAAGCCATTTTATTAATCCTAGTTTTATGAAATACAAATGTTTTGCCATCCCACAGAGAACAACAACAACGACAAATCTAGTATATAAGAAACCACAAAATAAGGTCTTTGATTTGTAACATAAAAAAATTTAAAGACTAGGTTTGCCTTCTGAGAACAACACTGTATACAGTCTCTGGCACTAGTGGATATTCCCTAAGTACTGTTGAATGGCCAGCAGATAATGTCAAGCCCTCTAGAGAATGGGAGAGCTGTCCACCTTTATGGTTAAGCTCCAAGAAGTACCAATTTCTAAAGAATTGATGTATGGTAGTATCTTGGTTAATAAGGGCGATTTTGTGATGACATTTTCCTTTTAGTGAGTAGGATTTTATTAAAACTTGGAAAAATGAAAACAAGGATTTGGGGATTTTACAAGTATATTTTCTCATGGTATCCCTACCTTTTCAGAGCAGGTATCTTCCCTCCCAAAATGAAGACAGAGTTTGCAAATTTGCTTTCTTTGCCTTTTGGTACATTTTTTGTAACCAGTTAGGTTTAAAGAGCCAATTACTACACCTTTAGTCAATATAAATTACTTTTTTTGTTTAACCTGGTTTAAAAATGGAAAATTTCCAAGGCTTTTCCTGATCTCATAATTAGTGCTTCTAAAACAGTATAATGAACATGTCAATATCTAGTAAAGCATGAAAAAAATCCTTAAATTGG